GGGGTGGTTGGGAGCCAGAGATTCCTGCTCCCAGGTACATAAGTACGTTCTCTCCCTCCCCATCAACAGAGTCCTACCAGCAAGGGCTCCTGTCTGCCACCATCCTGTATGAGATCCTGCTGGGGAAGGCCACGCTGTACGCGGTGCTGGTCAGCGCCCTGGTGCTGATGGCCATGGTAAGGAGGCCGGCAGGTTGGAGGGAGAAGGTGGAACATCACATGTGGGATATGGGGGATCTCAGAGCCTGCCTCAGCTTATCCTTTCATCTCGAGGAATTCGAAAGGGACCAGCAGCCTGGGGAGAAAGTGCAAAGATCATTACCAAATGCAGCATCGGAGGATGGGGAGAATCAAACAGCTCTCCCCTAAATCAGGCCCAGAGTCGGCCCCCTCTAACCTACTCCTGCTTGTGGCCCCTGGGACCCTGACCATGTCCTTCTTCTGCAGGTCAAGAGGAAGGATTCCTGAGACCGGCTGCAGAAGTGCCTTCTGAGTCATTGCTAACCCACAGGTTCTCCCTCACGTGCTTCCCATCTGCGCTCCCGGAGAGCAATTCTCTCTCCACCTCCCATCTCCTTCCATCATGATATGTGTCCCTTTCTTTCTGCTGCCCTGCGGACCGAGGACCTCAACCCTGAATCTGAAGTAGACAAAAACAATAAAAGTGTCACACTTGACCTTGCGTCTCAGGAGTGTCTGTGGCGTTAAGCCCTTCACAGACCTGCCTTCCGATTTGGGGAAAACTCCACCCCTCATGCCGACGTGGTGACCGACCCTCCTCGCTGACCAGTGCTGCTTCCTCCTGTTCATCCTGATAGCCAGTGGACCCCGTGGTCCACACCCAGGCACTCCAGGCCCACGTGTGTAGCTGGGCTCTTGAAAACCTGCATGAAGATGAGCATAGGTGGACCATAACCTGCCCTGCAGCACAGGACCAAGGACAGGGCAGACTTCCGGGTTAGAATGCCCTGTCATCTCTCAATTCCAGATTTCAAGTTTTATTATCACGCCTTTAGGTTTTATCTGTCAATTCTCAACACCTCTATCCTATCTCCTTTGGGGATCTGGGCATAAGATTCAGTTCTACTCTGCACATCCTGAAGAAGGCACAGAGTTGAAAATACCCATATGTGAGGCCTGAAGATTTCCCAGAGGCAGGGCACGTGGGGTCAGGCCCTAGGGGAGGAATGGAGAGAGCAGCGGGGTCCAGGGGGGCTGAGGTGTTACATCCATGTCGCCTTTCACACAGGCATCTCCACTCGATGGGCTGCAGGCCAGGCTGCAGCAAATGCAGCGTGCTGAGCGCCTTCACGCAAGTAGAGAGGGTCGCCATGCGCAGGTCGGCCCTGCGTGCGGGCTCCTTTCGCTGTGTAGACACTGCCCTGTGGGGGAAGGGGTGCAGTTAGGGAAAAGAAGGCACAGACGAGTGAGAGAGGCCACGGGCAGTTCCCCGAGGCAGAATCTCAGGGGCGACAAGGCAGCCTCAGAGCTGAGAAAAGGTGGGGAAATGGAGCCCCTCCAGACTTGGGGCTGAGTGCTGGCACCTGTGTTGTCCCAGTTAACCCCCAGGACATCCGCCCCTAGCAGCAGGTAGAGTCTCCCTGGTTTACAGGTGAAAAGGCCGCCGTTCGTAGACCCACTGACTGTCAAGCTGTGAAACCCTGGCCCATTCTTCGGAAGACAGCAATTCAGGGAGCCTTTCCGAGTGGCAGTCGGGGTCACGTGAGTGTCACAGGAGGACCCCGGAGCAGCTGCTCCCAGACTCTGGTGCAGAACCCACAGTAAGGGCGTCAAGAGACCTTGAGTCCTGAGTGTATTTGTTTCCCAGCTCGGTTGTAAAGAAAAAGCACAGACTTGATGGTTTAAAACCAAATGCATTCTCTCACCGTTCTGGAGACCAGAAGTTCAAAATCAAGGTGTTAGCAGGGCTAGTTCCCTTCTGAAGCTCCAGGGGGGAATCCTTGCTTCCCGTTGGCTCCTGGCGATCCTGGCCTTGCGACGGACTCACCCCCACCCCCGTCTTCACTTCACCTTCTTTCTTCCTCGCGTCTCTGTGTCCGAGTTTCTCTCTCCTTTTCTCCACCAAGACAGGAGTCATTGAATTTAGGACACACCCTAAATTCGGAAGGAATTTCATCCTGAGATACTTAACGTTTACATCTGCAAATAACTTATTTACAAATTAGGTCTCATTCTGAGGTTCTGGGTGGGCATGAATGTAGAGTAGAAGCTATTTGTCCACCACACTGAGTATCCAGGAACCGGAAATGAGGGGGTCGTCTGGACCGGTTCACACGGGGCAGGAGAGGATGTGGCCAGAGAAATCATCACATATCTGGAACTTCCCGATTGCTGTAATTATCTCTAGATTTCTCTAACTGCAGCCCGATGGGTGTGTTGTTGTTGTTGTTGTTGTTGTTATTGCTGTTGTTTGTTTTCGTAATGGCTAAAAATGTCCCAAAACAAAGGAGACAGAGTGCTGGCCGTGATCAGCACCCACAAAAGCAGCATCTCCCATTCTTTAGATATGTGTGGTGGCCCCTCACACGGCTGGGATGGGGAGATGAGCAGCTGAAGGGATAGCAAATGCTTCAGAGAGAACAGGGTGTCAGGTGGGCAAGAGGGAGTGGACTGGGACAGAGGTGTCAGGGGACAGGTGTTGGGGGATGGGGTGCTGGGGACGGATGTTGAGGGACAGGGGTTCGTGTGAGCAGAGCAGTGAGGAGAGCAGAAGCAGGGCAGAGCTCAAGGTGGAGGAGGGGCAGGCAGGGTTACCCCACAGAAGAAACGTGGGGTTTGTGGGCTTGGTGATTATTATCTTTGGGCTGCTGAAAGTAGAGACATTAGCAGGTGGGAGGATGTGGGAGGAGCGCCGGTCGGCACCTGGGGTCTGCCAAGGTGAGGAAGGAAGGAATGTCCTCTGGAGGATGAATGACTCCCTGCAGGCAGCACAGTCCAGATGGAGATGGCACAAACTCCATCTGGACCCCACTGGATCCAGCGAGGGCCCCACTTCCCCAATGTTTACAGCCATTTCCTTGTCTCTCAGACGGCACTGCCCCCCAACATCCAGCTCACAGGCACTGGGAAGTTAGTCTCTTCTGCCTCTGCCTCTTTCTCTAGAATCTAAATGGATCCTTCTGGACCAATTCTGAGCATCCCGTCCACTCTGTCTCAGGCGAAACTGAGCGAAGATGGGTTAGATGTAGGGAGATCATATTTATTGTGTGAATGGGGGGTACCTTTGAGAGTGAACATGGGGTGCTGGGACAAGAGGAGTAAATCGAGATTGTCCCCACAAGCGGGGACACACGGCCACTCCAGTTACAGGGGCCCTGAGGCGGTTTCTGGGTCCAGAAGTATTTCTGGAATGAAAGGTGCCAGAGCGATTCCTCATCGACTTGGGCCTGTCGAGCTGTTCCAATCTCAAGGCTGATCTAAGCTTCACCCCACTGAGGAAATCTGTAAGCAGAATGCAGTCCAGGGGCAAACTTCGCAAGTGACGCCCCGTGCAGGGGCAAAGCATGCTTATTGACTGAAGGCGCTTAGAAGCCAAGCGTCTCTAGAAGAACGCCTGGGGTCCCCCAAGTTCTCACCATTCCACGGGGCACAGCTGGACTCACCATGGGGAGCACCCCGGGGGAGAAACTTCAACCCTATGGCCTTTAGAGATTTATTAGAAACTAGGAGGAAGAAGAAGGCATCCCACTGGTCATGTAATAATGGGAATGTCCCGTGGGGAAAATGGGATTCCTGTCTGGAGGAGCTAGTCAAGTCACGGTCACTTGCCCAGGAGAAGAATTTCCCTATCAGTCCAGTACCCACTAGAGACCTGTCGCCCTTCCTTTTGCACGGCTCATGGCCAGGCTACATAAGGTTGGACAGTGGGATGCGGGTAGAGGAGGTCGGAACCATCCAGAGACAAAGACTTTTTCTCTCTTAACTAAGTGATTAGAGAAGAGTGAGGGAAAGAAAAAGAGATTTTGGAACAAGAGAGCTTGGAATAAGAGCGATGGATCCTGGCAGATACTAATATCTCTATTTCCTGCCCTGATGCATTTTTCCCACTTTTTTTCTCCCCTAGTGACACAGAGAGGAGCAGCCTGAGTGACCTCAGCCCCTAACAGTCGGTGCGACACATAGCCCCAAATGTCCCATATCGGAGAAACTTTGTGAGGTCGATCTTAGAGATGCCTGTGGGACTGGAGAACGGGTATTTGAGACTTCTTTTGAAGCTATATGCATACAACAAAAACATGCAAAAACCTGGATGTATTACATTTAGGGGTGTCATGGGACGCTACTGGAGATCACAGAACGGCGAAAAACACCAGGCCAGCTCTTAGCGTTGTCACTGACCTATGGATGAATTTGTCACCTGCAGCCTCATTGATCTCTCCTTAGATTTCCATCACCAAGTTCCCTTTGCCACGCTCTTGGAAATTACCCAATGCCTGTGTAAGAAGAATCACGGTGTAGAAGGCCCCCTAGCAGGGACGACAATATTAATGACAATTCATTCTCATGACTTGTGGCAGATTCCCACAGGTTCCAGAAAGGTGATTTTTGAAGGCCCTAACACCCCGTCGTATAAGATGTCATCCATCCTGTCTGGGCCCCAAACACAAAGCATTCTCTGCCTTGCTCTAGGGTTAGACACCCTCCCCTCCCATCTCGAGGACTCCCTTTCCTGGTGCTATGTTCGTGGATCTGCATTCCCTAGGTTCTTAACACATCCTACCTGGCTGCCTCTTCTTAAGATTTACTGTGACAGCGTCAGGTCGTGCCCTGACAGACGACGTATTCTCCGCTCACCACGGCCCCCCATCACACCCCCAACTATTTCCTTTCTCCTCCGTCTCCATCCTATGTCTTTTCTGCTGTTGCACTTGGATTCCTGGAAAGCTTCCTGGGGAAGATGGGTCCGGAGATGAGTGAATGGGTCTGGACGTCAGCAAGAAGGGCCTGAGAAGGAGCCCACGGCTGTGACTCTTTCCACAGAAATGTCATCGGCAACGTCTCACCTGCCCAGGCTGTCCTCTCCGAGTGTGAGGGGTGGTTTGACAGGGAGGCTGCATTCCGGGGTTTCCCGTGGACCCAGTGACCTGCCACATCCTGACCAGAGTTGCCAACACAGGAAGTGTCATTGAAAATAGTGACTTGATGGTGATCCTGGGCGTGACCCCTCTTGCCCAAGTTCTAGTCCACTTCACCAATGACATCTTGGCCCTCGACACCCCCATGCCCATGATGGGGCTTGATCTTGACTGGATCTTGGATTCATAGATACTCTGGATGGTAAACAAGCATAAGTTGCAGGGTCTTGAGTCCCCACCCCACCCCCACGAGTTATACTTGACCTGTCCTGGGACAGGCAGCTCTTGACTTGTCTGGGTAGGCCATTTCATCACTGGACAGATCTAGAATTTTGTCCTAATTGGATATTCATAAAACTCTTTGTGTTCCCCTCATTGGTCATAATTACACTCCTATGAGAGCCCTTCTTGAGACAGCTAGCATGGCCACCTCCAGCCAAGAGCCCACAAATCTCTGAGAGACAGAATCAGCAGATGCTTCAAAAGCTTGGGTTTGTGGAATGGGAAAAGCCTGCGTTAGCTAGGTGAGAATATTATAACAAAGAACAGGGACCTTAAAGCCAAAGAGACCCAAGTTCAAGGCTTAGATCTGCCCCTTAACAGCTATGTGACCCTGGGCAACTGACCACCTCCCAAGTGACTCAGCTTTCCTTCCTAGAAAAGGCTTCATCACAATCCTGACTTCTTGAGGTGGCTTCATCTCATCCGTGTCACAAACACACAAAGCTGCTACACAGCATCAATAAATATCGGCTGCTATTAAAATAATTTGTATTCGCCTCAAGACATTGTTCCGGGCTAAACACATCTGGTTCTTCCTGTCTCCTGTGGCACAGTTTTGAGCACTTCCTGCTCTCCTCAGCCCAGCTACTCTCTTCGAAAAACATCTACGTTTGTTTTTACCCTCGTACTGTTGTTCTCTGTCCACAGCTGCCAGGCCCTGGGCCACACGTTTGCCTCCTCTGGGCTTCTGCAGCCTCCTCTGTGACGTGAGATTGGGAAAGTGACTTCTATGGAATCTTCTAGCCGTGCTCTTTCGGATTCAGTGATTCAGCTTCTGCAGGCCTCCAATCCCCAGGAGGGAGGCGATGGGGGACGGGAGTGGGGGGTGGGGGGAATGTAAGCTCTTCCCAGACGCAAACCATTCACACCTGTGACAGCCCGGGGGTATGAGGGGGACAGCACTGACCCCAATTCCACAGTTAACAAGAGGCACCTGGAGTCCTGACACCAGTTCCCTGGCCCTGCTCCAGGAAGGAGGTCCTGGGCTATGAATGAGGAGATGAAAATTTTGCATAAAGAAGAGTGGCCTTGACTCAAAGGCCAGGAAGTCAGGCTCTGCGTGTTGGGGTCTTTCGGGAGACGACTGGGGAAGGGATGGGGGTGTCTGAGCCCAATGCTGGCTACCAGGCTGTTTATCTCTGAGCAACATCAGCATGAGGAATAACAGCCACCCACCTGCCCCTAGCGCCATCTCGGGGACTCACAACAGGATGTGGTTTGACATTTAGCAGGTCTCGCTTTTGGGGCGCCTGTGAAAGGCCCTCCCCCCCGCCACCCACCTTCTGAGCACCACGAGGACCACATCACCACATCCTGCCCCAGCCTCCTCCAGCGCTGCTCTTTCTACCTGGGCTTCTGGTGGAAACAGAACGACAGAGGGGAGGGGAGAGGGGGATCTGGGCGCCTCAGCTCCACGTGCAGACGCCCCCACCCCCCGCCACTTGACTGCTACACCTGCTGGAAGTCACACCCAAGACCCGAGGCTGCAGCGGGACCTTGGAGAGAGCGAAGAATGAAACACAGCTGCAGTAACTGCTCTGACCCCATTGGGGTCTCTTCTGGCCCCACATCACTCAGCCAACTCCCTCCTCCCACCCGCCCCCTCCCTCGACACTCGCCCTCCCACTTCCTTCCACTCAGCTAATGAGAGATGCGGATGAGTCACAGAAAAGGAAGCCCCAGATAATCAACGGACTGAAAAACGGACAGCCCCTGGAAGTCTGAGCAATGTCTGTGTGCCGTGCTGCCTGGGTGTCTCTGAACGTCACCCCCACTGCTAAGGCCTGTGAGGTCCATGTGCGGGATGAGTTCTGTGCCACCTGGGTAAGAGAAGGAGGGACACAAAATGCAGGAGAGAATGACAAACCAGGGAGTCGGGATGCGCCGAAGGAGGGAGCAGTTAGCAAAACACACAACAGGCCAAGTCTGCTTTCCAGCAGCTCAAAAGCCATAGCACACTCAGCCCAAAGCTTCTCGATCCCTGCAAAATTATGAAGCAGCCCAATTTCAGTGTCGCCAGCTTCCTAGCCATGGGCGTTTCCATCTTCCTCCAGCTGTCCAGAGGCCCCAGGGTTTTCCCCTGTGAATCCCATGAGAGGCTGAGATCCAGGCCAGACGACGCGAAGGAAGTTACCTGGCCGCCAGCATGTGGCCCTGGACCGCATGCGTGGGACCAGTCTTTTGGGCACACCTACAAAGTCCAAGTCAAGAACCCGGTCCCGTAAGCTCTCCTACAATAGGGGCAGCGTCATCTGCTCAGAGGGGCCAGAGAGACCGAAGAATCCCGGCCAGGGACAGCGTATCTGAGCAGCATCTGCCGTCCTGAGCTCCTTTCATTTGTCATCCTAAGTGACGAGGATTGTAGCTTTCTGAGTCCTGGACACCGTGGAAAGCGGTGTGGGAACAGGACTCTGTACCCAGACAAGAGGAGGAGATTAACGTGTCTTCATGAGCTTAGGTGGCTTTAAGCCCCCCCTTAACTGGTCTCTCCCTCCCTGTTCATGGCCTCCTGTCTCTCTGCCGCCCTGTGTCATGACCACCGTCTTGTTCTCTCACCGCTTTTCTGGAACTTGCGTTATTTGCTGAGACCTCCACCTTTCCACTCAAACCGACTCTCCTGAGATTGTCACGTTCTTATCTAAATACTAGTCCACCCCGCCCCCCGCCAAAAAACTAAACTTTGCTAAAATTCTATCTCCTTCGTGAAGTTACCCAGAACTTCTCTGAGCTTCTTACAAGAATGAAAACTCTGTTTTCGCTCTGCTACGAACTCCACTGGAACTGTAGTGATGCACGGGCCCGTCTCGTGTTAAGAAGGATTCTGAGGCCGCATAAGGCCCCAAAAGAAAAGACCGGTGACTGATATCTGAGCGAGCACAACAGACGGTACAACTTTCATGGGTTTGCCGTGCAAGTATATTTACTATGTAGTTTAATGTTTAATCTAAAATAAAATAAAAAAGAAGAAGTCTTTCTTTTGGGTCATAATCAAAGTATCGTGTAAACGTAAAGAAAAGAATAAGGTCTATCTGTGGAAAATCAGACCCTAGAATAGGTCTTTCTAACATTAACACCATCTCATTTAATACGCTTCCCAGTCCAGTAAGGGAAGTTTGACAGGTGGAGAAAAATCAAGCCTAGAGAGATTAGATAATTTGCCCAAGGTCATAACGATGTGTAAAAGGTAGACTCGAAAACCACGTGCCTTAAAAATATAGACGGTGTCAAAATCAGTGGTCACCAGGGTTTCCAGGGAAAGGGTAGTTAGTAGACGAAGCCCAAAGGGGACTGGGGACAGTGACATCATTCTGCGTGACGTTGAAATGGGGAGGATGGGATATGATGTATTTGTCAAAAACCATGAACACGTACAAACAAAGTGAACCTAATGTAAACCACGGACTTTAGTTCGGAATAATAGTAACAAACATAGCACACCAACGAGAACTTTCTCTATTATCTGCTCAATGTTTATGTTAATCTAAAACTTTATGTTAAATCTAAAACTATTAAATGGGTTGTAAATGCATCTTCACGTTTGTGGTCATAGCACTGCTGATCGACTTAGTAAATAACAATTTTCACACTCACACACAAAAAGCAAACCAATTGTCTTGATTAAACCAGGCTGTGACCATGCCCGGCACCAACTCGAATGTACTTCACTTTTTAAAATCCCTGTGTCGGGTCCCAGTGCCTAGCACATATGAGCTACTTAATACGCAGATGACCTTGAAGGTGCAGTAGGAGACACCTGGGCACTATTAAATACAGTCTTGATCACTTTGTGTCTCTGTCTCAGACTTTCTACTACGTTGTAAACGATACTGAAAATAAACACGTCTGAATCGTCCCAGATGAAGTGATGCCGGAAACAGTATTTTAAATCTTCTTGTGCCCCCTCGTGGAGCAGAAGGGACATGAAGACGGAAAACCTTTTAAAGAATAAAGAGGATGAGGGATTGAGAGATGAGGACGGAAGTTCTGTTGCCAAGGTAACCGTGGCATCGCTACCCAGCCACCTCCAAAAGCTTTCTCCTCGCCTTCATTCCCATCAAAGTAATTTCTCTTTTTTAGGGTTTTACCGTTGTACAGGCATGCCCTCTCTCTTTCCCAACTCTTTGATCACCATCTGCTTCTCCGCTCCCTCTTTTGCTACAGAAGAAGGGATGAGAAACAGTAGAATGAGAATTTTAAAAAAAAATTAAAATAAAATGCCCAACAATCATCGAAATCCCTAAGTGCATGTTTCTGATACTAACGGAGCCACACTTCTGCCCTACGTGAGGACAATCCACCAAACACCTCGCTGGGTGAGGACCACTAACCAGTTAAGTCACCTGAGTGGGCATCCTCCTGTCTGCTCACCCGTCCACCAACATACCTCATCCGGTCTCAGGTGTATGCCGCCTCCCTCACCCGTCTGTGCGCAAACCCGCTCCCCAGGGTAGACTGCCAGGAAGTGGGGAGAAGGACACATTGCGAGGGCTGCAGGATGACAGTCTAGGACTAGACATCCACGCATCGGGAACGTGACTGTGCGTCCACGATTCACAGGTCTGCACGTGTAAATCGTTCTTTTGGAGAACCTGGCTTGATTCGGTTGCTCTCGCCTTGGCTGGCAAATACCCAGTGACACACACACTCCGCCCAGTCCCCGAGTGAGGGCTCCCGGGGAGGGCGGTGAGGACTCAGGAGAGGGCGGGTTTTTGCACAGATGTCTGCCCCACCCCGTTCAGTGTGAGACTCCAGGCACAGAGGTAGAAGCCGGAGTCGCTGAGGAGGAGCTTCTTGGAACTCAGAATGAAAAGGCCATCCTGGGGCCTGGAGGCCGTTAAGTTTTGGGGTGCATCAGACTTTGTCTGGTTAACACTGTAGGAGTAGAAGAGCAGCTGGAGGGCCCCTCCCAAGGCCTGCCGGTACCAATATAGGTTGGGGTTCGATGTCCCCTTCACAGTGCATTCCAGAGAGAGTGGGCTGCCAACAACCTGCACCTTTGTAGGTGGCCACTGGCGGATGGTCTGAGCTCTGACACCTGTGGGGAGGGTGAAAGGCCATTTAGAGCAACGAACCCAGCCCAGCTCGCCTTCCACCCAGACAGAGGGGAGGCTCAAGGCCTTCCATGGCCCAAGCATAAGGGAGGGATCAATCACAGGGAGTACATTGGGAGGGCCGAGGGTGCAGGGGTTCGCTGGGCCAGGGAGACCCAGAGAGCACACCCCTTCTTAAGGAACAGAGGAAACCAAGACCCAGCACACAGGGCACTAAGACTAAAGTCCCACGTTTATTCCAGACAAGGGAAGGAATGCACTAAAGAGAGTCAAACACAGCAGCTCAGGCCCTCGATTCACGGGGTTGGGGGAGGGGAGCACCCACCTAAGAAAGTGCCCAGGAGAAGGGCAAGGAGAGAGCAGAGCATGGTTCGAGCCAGACTTCAGTTGAACTAGCAGAGGCAGACACCACTTCGTCTGGGCCAGACAGGTGGCCAGGCCCCTCCCTCCAGGAGATCTGCTGCCACAGAGGAGAGCAATCATTTCCCCTCAAGCTGGGGAGGAAATGAGGCTGATCTTTTCTTAAAAGCTTGATGAATCAGCCCCAACCTCCC